TTGTAAGCCCTCAGACTTTCAGTGGTTTACAAATTAATATCAGTTGAAGTATTATAATCTATTTTTCAATTCAATGTTGACCTAATACTTAGCATGCCCAGAATGTGAATCTAAATGATCATGACTCGCATCCAGTTGCCATAGAAAAGTCACTCCGTACTTTTTGGCCGTGAAGGCAATAAAAGATGTCACTACTTTTCAGTTACTTAAGATGTAGCTTAAGAATTGGCGATGGGTTCTGTTATCCAGCTGCCTCCCACCTAATTTATCAAGACAAAATTTCAAAATCAAGGATGGTTATTTGCAAATAGTTCTTCTGTAACTTTGCGCGAATATTCTAATAGAAAGAGATCACTTTAAATATAATTTCAACTAAATACATGTAGTCTTAATTATTCCGTAATTCATAAGTTATTCAGACTAAATTCTGCTCCAGACAACATTAATTAGTCATGCAATTTGTTTATACAACTGAACTGCTTTATAAGAACAATGTTGTCTGTCCTGTGCTACCGTTGGAATGACTTCCCCCATCGTGAGATCGTAGTCACTCTAATGACCATGATTACGCACTATTGGAAGACATCGCAGTTCCTGTTGTATCAAGGACCACTCATATTAATAACCCACCAAACATGATCGCCCTTTCAGCCGTGGAGACGTTATAATGTGACGGTCAATCCCACTATTCGTTGGTAATAGAGTTGGCGGTGGGTGATGATGACTAGTTAAAGAAGTCTTTAACTCTGTTTTCGCAAGTTGCAGAGCAATCCCATTTTAATACAGTATTTAATTCTCTATTTATACAGATCAGCTCTACGAACAGTTTCACTGCACCTTTTACACTCTTTGTATATCATAGTATGTCATACTTTGTATATCATAGTATGTCATACTTTGTATATCATAGTATGTCATACTTTGTATATCACAGTACATCATACTTTGTATATCATAGTACGCCATACTTTGTATATCATAGTACGTCATACATTGTATATAATAGTATGTCCCACTTTGGATATCACAGTACGTCATACTTTGTATATCATAGTATGTCATAATTTGTATATCATAGTATGTCATACTTTGTATATCACAGTACATCATGCTTTGTATATCATAGTATGTCATACTTTGTATATCATAGTACGTCATACATTGTATATCATAGTATGTCCCACTTTGGATATCACAGTACGTCATACTTTGTATATCATAGTATGTCATAATTTGTATATCATAGTACGTCATACTTTGTATATCACAGTACGTCATACTTTGTATATCATAGTATGTCATACTTTGTATATCACAGTACATCATACTTTGCATATTACAGTACATCATACTTTGTATATCATAGTACATCATACTTTATATATCATAGTACATCATACTTTGTATATCATAGTACATCATACTTTGTATATAATAGTATGTTATACTTTGTATATCATAGTATGTCAAACTTTGTATATCATAGTACGTCATACTTTGTATATCATAGTACGTCATACATTGTATAACATAGTATGTCCCACTTTGGATATCACAGCACGTCATACTTTGTATATCATAGTATGTCATAATTTGTATATCATAGTACGTCATACTTTGTGTATCATAGTATGTCATACTTTGTATATCATAGTATGTCGTACTTACGTACATTTTATAATATATATATATATATATATTTCTATTTAAGGTTGTTTTATTTTCTCACACAGTTTATATACTAATCTTAATTGTAAAATATATGTATCACGTTATACAATCTCCATAGACTATATATATATATATATATACAATTAAAAGGAGTACAACGTTAAAATAATTGCACAATAAATAATTTATTAAAAACGGGGACCAGCCCTAAAAATATTCTACATGTTTCGGTGTTCGTACGCCATCTTCAGGTGTCGTTTTAATTTATTTACTCTAGAGACTATCTATAGACCGTCTACTAAAGTTACGACATACCAAATCCTGCTCTCAGTAACAACTGTTTATATATAACCTTCACACTAAGTATATAAATTACACACTAATACCAGTTATAAGTAACTTTCTTCAGTTCGTTTATATAACTTAAACACTAATTCCCATTACAGGTAACTTTCTTCAATCCTCTTGTATATAAATTACACACTAATACCAGTTATAAGTAACTTTCTTCAGTTCGTTTATATAACTTAAACACTAATTCCCATTACAAGTAACTTTCTTCAATCCTCTTGTATATAAATTACACACTAATACCAGCTATAAGTAACTTTCTTCAGTTCGTTTATATAACTTAAACACTAATTCCCATTACAGGTAACTTTCTTCAATCCTCTTGTATATATTACACACTAATACCAGTTATAAGTAACTTTCTTCAGTTCGTTTATATAACTTAAACACTAATTCCCATTACAAGTAACTTTCTTCAATCCTCTTGTATATATTACACACTAATATCAATTATAAGTAACTTTCTTCAGTCCGTTATTTAACTTACACACTAATATCAGTTATAAGTAACTTTCTTCAGTCCGTTATTTAACTTACACACTAAAAGCAGTTATATGTAACTTTCTTCAGTTCTCTTAGTTAGGTCGCTCGACTTGCAATCTGAGGGTCGCGAGTTCGAATCCCCGTCACACCAAACATGCTTGCCCTTTCAGCTGTGGGGGCGTTATTATGTGACGGTCAATCCCACTATTCGTTGATAAAAGAGTAGCCCAATAGTTGGCGGTGGGTGGTGATGACTAGCTGCCTTCCCTCTAGTCTTTCATTGCTAAATTAAGGACGGCTATCGCAGATAACCCTCGTGTAGCTTTGCGCGAAATTCAAAAATAAACAAACAAACAGTTCTCTTATATAAATTACACATTAATTCCCGTTATAGGTAACTTTCTTCAGTTCTTTTATAGAAATTACAGGATATTCCATTTCTAATTGATCTTTCTTAAAACGTTTATAAAATCTTCAGAATTCCTCCTGTTGTAAGTAACTTTCAGCAAATCCACTTATAATTTGTAATCTTCTTATTGAGAAAGTTAGCTGATGTTGATGCCAATGATTCGCGTTTCCCTAATACAGTGGCGTGCTTACACTGATGCGAACTGTGCAGCCACGGGCGACATGTTTAGCACTTGTATATTTGGTTCACGGCTCATTCTCGATCTTTCGGCAGTGCAATACTGCCATGGTTAGACTTATGCTTGAAATATTATGTCACAGCCTTTTTGGAAGAAGGATATTCGTAAAACCAGATCGTTAAATGATATATAACCGAAGTGAACGATATTTAGAAGAAGTAGAACCCTCCAGTGCTGTTTAACAACAGTATTTAACAACAATGGATTCCGAAACCACACTTTAATACAATACAAAAGCAATGTACTCCGGAACCACACCTTAATACAATACAAAAGCAATGGACTCCGGAACCACACCTTAATACAATACAAAAGCAATGGACTCCGGAACCACACCTTAATACAATACAAAAGCAATGGACTCCGGAACCACACCTTAAAACAATACAAAAGTAGTGGACTCCGGAACCACATCCCAGTCCAATCTGATGCAACATCCTCATCCAATAAAGCTAATACTGTGGTTAGAAAAGAAAACTATTTCAATCATAAAAGATTTGTAATGAAGCTGGGAATGTCTCCTGATATGTTAACAAGATCATAAACAATGATTTGAAGCTGACGAAAGCTCACAAGCTTCCAACAATACCTCGAAATCAACGGCCATTTTCATGAGAAAAATAAAGATGGCCAGAGCAACTGAAACTTATATGTATAAAGTTTCCTACTGTTACTCTAATTGACAGTTGTTCTTTTGGACTGTTTAAACAGGTTTTGGAAGCTAACGCCTAGATACAGATCAATATTTTTGGAAAGTTTGTAAATAAATAAGCAGTTAGATTGTTATAATGGAAATTGTTATAATGTGTCGTGAAATAGCGTGCAAACAAGACCATCAGGTTAAGCACTATCGACAATACAGGAAGTAGTTCTGAGGACAACCTGGACCGGGGACTTTCTTTTTACGAAGTGTAATATACGAACTAAGTTCCAGTTCAAAAGAAACCTTTGTCACTCTTATATAAAGTCTTCACATTGGCTCCACTCCAAGATCACTGTTTATTCAACTTACAGAAGAACTCAGTGTAAAGGCTACTCGATTTTAAAAACCGATTGATATTGTATAAATCCACACGGAAATAAGCACACGAAATCTATGTGATCGCAAAAATATTCCACTCAAATACTTTAAAAGTATATACCAGGAAAAAACGAGATTTTATTTATTTCTACATCATTTGGAACTTTTTTTTTTAATTTTAAACTTTACGAAACGGAAATGATTCCAGAAAACTATAATCGACTTCGTTAAGTCTTGTATGTCGTTTATACGCCTTTTTTTTTATTGTTGTTTCGAAACATAATATTATTGTGTTTTGTTGTTATATGTACAATTCAACAAAATTCACAATATCGATAGCTACTGTACTTCAATTACGCCTTGTACAAAGACTGTCTAAAATGACTACGCAGAAAGTTAAGGCATTAGACGTGTCTGATCCGTAATAGAAAACGCATGTGTTTCAAAGTGTCTGTTTTTAATTTATAGCGCTACAGATGTGGAAAGCTAATAGCTGTACTTATGTATGAGTTATATTACTTTATGAACAAGGTCACTGATACCAGAGCTGAGCTGATTATAATATTACTCACGTATATAACTTATTCAGTTATAAGCGGTTGACTTATAGGAAACAAAAGTCTAAATCAAAAGCTTATAAATGAATAAGTCAAAAACTATATATTAAGCCTATTATGTTTTTTCGTTATAAGAACTATAAATATTGCACAGTTTAAAACTCGCTTTCGATATATATGAGGCTACAATTATGATATTTGTAACAAAAACGTTCCTCCCAATTGATATTGCCCCAAGATTAACTACGTAAAGGATGTTGTCAAGCTTACCGGCATCTGGCGGGAACTGGATTCCGCGGTATGATCCTAATAAACGTAGCCAGGGCAAGGCCAACATGCTTCGGCATGTGAGGCACCAGCACACTCTGTTATGCCCTCAGGTATAGATAGTTAGCTATCTGGCTTCGTCCCCGGAAGTTGGTTCTGGTCAGTTCTTTCTTTCTCCCTGAAACAAACACTGACAGCACGAGCGGGAGATCTGCTCACATTGATATATTATAATAAAGTTAAGTCGCATAAAGATATGATAATTATTATTTTTTTTAGATAAATGAGATTATAGTTTCTATATAAAGCTGGTGAATTATCTGTTTATATCTCTGTCCAGACTAGGATAAGTTAATTGTTGTGAAGTCTAACCGGAAATCACCATCTGTAAGCTCAATCTTAATTTTCGTGGTTATTGCCAAGTGATTTCATCCAACACACTTCACATGGGAAGACTCGCAATGACGAGTGAATAAAAATTTGGATCTGGTGAAAAGTTTCTAGCTGTCACGTGCTCTTGCGCGCACGTGAAGACAAATCATATGAAATCAACATTCTCGGAATTAGCTGCGTAAGCTGAAAAGATTCGTAACTCCACCTACCACTAGGTGTCGCCTATCATTGGTTAATTTGCACTCTTACTATTTTCTTTTCATTTTTTCTTTAACAGTTTGAGTGCTGAGAAGTATCTTATCTCACCTGGCAGGGGGCGCGCCTGATCAGAAGCCTCTTGAGAACAGTATTGTCACGTGACTTCTACGTGCGAAATGAGGGAAAGCTGGAAGGCGCTTTGAAGTTTAAATGTGCAAGATACCAGCTATAATAAAAACTGTGATTACAATACGGTTTATTGTTTGTAACTTATACTATTCTCAGACAAATATGTCTTGTCTAAGTATTTAACAAAGAAGGTAAAACGTATTCAATTCTTTGTAACAGTACTAAACAAATGATTGCCACTAAGAATGATCTACTTCAAACACGCGTACGATATGTTTTAAGACTTTATACTAATTTACTATAAAATTTCTCGTGTTTGGTATGAGCCAGTAGAGCTCCTGTGATTAGTTTTATTTAATGCACATATAACAAGAGAGTTTCAGATCTAAAAGACAGTAGTGTTTGATATTTATATTCGGTCAAAAATATTGAAAGTTTAACGGTTATCGCGGGAGATCTCGACGTAACATTGCTGATTTATAAGGTATCAACATAAAGTGCGAGAATGATACAATCTTTATCCTGTGGTAGTGATTCTATTCATTACATAACCTTAGTTATGCATCTGTTGTTTTTGTCAAAATGTAGCAAATATGATAAATTTATGTGTATATGTGTTTATTGAATATCTTTGCATTAAGTGTTTGTTTGTTGATCATACAGTAATCTTCTTCCAGTACTTGTGTTACTACTTACAAACCACTTTTGTTTCTATATATATATATACTTTTATAGTAATTTTGAGCACTGATTCCTTGTTTTCTTTTTATATCACCAGGGTGCTCTTTGCCTACCGGAAAGTCAAGTGTGTTTAATTTGCATTGTTTATGTCATATATTAGCTTTAGAGCGATTCAACCAACAAAAAAATTGGGCCAAAACTTATAATTTAATTTATGTATGAATAAAAAGGCGCCATTTTTATTCGAAATGATACCTTATTGCCACCTTCTTATAAAGTAATTTCAAAATCTCTAAATTTCTTTATAAAGTTTTTGATTATATTTTCTGAATTGAATTATGTTGTTGTGTGTTTTATTATCACAGAACACTTATCCATGTGTACAAAGTACGTTAGTTAGGTACTATTCTGTGATTATAAGCTCCCCTCTGCTAAGAATGTGGAGCATTAATGCCACCGTTGGCCATATTAGTCATTTCCTTATGGTTATAAATCACACCGTTGTAAGAATTTACGGTTATAGGTAATGGTATTCATTTCGTTTTAACACAACGCTATAAAGACAAGCCTTATTCGTGTTATGAGATAAAAAAAAACCACTGGTACCAGCTATAATAGCCTTGATTCTGTCGTATTTTGTAACAAAATTTAATTTAGGAACCATCGTCGTAGTTTGCAGCACGTGCGATATCCGAATCACTGAGGTGGAGGTAGTAGGACAATGGCGTCATGGCTAACGTCAGCCGTCAAGTGTAATTTATTTAACACAAATTTCGGAGGAAGTTTCGAGATGTATATTTGTTTAGATACAACAGCTGAATTGAATTTCGTGTCGCCATCACTTTGTCGGCCCAGTTATACAAAAACCAGACACTGCAGTAGTTGTGTTGATGTGGATTTTCTTACTTTTCTGTGTTCTGTGATGAGGTTTATATTGTAAACATAATTATCTGTGAGTCATTCCACGTCTCAACCCTTGACGTGTAAGAATGCCTTATCAGGCTAAATTCATGGAATTACTGAAAACATTGCACATAGTAAACAATTATATTTGTTCTACATTATAATACGTCAAATATCCTTCAGCAAGAATGTCTTTAAGTTTATGGATTCGTGAAGTTCAACACTGTAGTTACGACTTTTAACTCTCGTTTTTATATTAAATGAAAAATATCCGTCCGTAATTGAAAACAAATCTATTGATGATAATTCATAAAACAGTTTACGATTGCAATTTTTATAACTATGTACGAGTATTAAATTTTGTACATCTAGGCAAATTAATCCTCCTGTTATTAAAAACGAAACATTTAAGTTTTTTTTTTTTGCTTTATATCCTACATATTATTCAAAACCAGAGCTTCTTTCCAAAGATATAATTTTCAAACAGTAAATAAGGGTGTCAAATTTGTTTTTGTTTCTTTTTGTCGGCTCAACCAGTCTTAAGCTGTAAATTTTCGGCCAAAGTCACCCTGACTTTTCAGTTTGTGACTCCATCTGGTGGTGAACTATATCTTTTAATGACAGTGGAGCTTTTTTTTTCAGATATAAAAATAAATAAATGAAGTAAATTAAATAAACCTAATTTTTCTTTGTGTGCCTTTTCTTGAAAACAAGTATCGCAACTTCTATAAATGTGTATCAAAAAGCCTTATTATTGTGATATAGCATTTAAAAAAGGTTTTGACTGTGCCGCAACATTTAGTGTAAATAATAATAGGTCAGCGGTATGTTTATGGACTTACAACGCTAAAATCTGGGGCTCGATTTTTCGCGGTGGACAAAGCGCAAATAGCCCATTTTGTAGCTTAGTGTTAAAAAGAAAAATCCGACACCACAACAGAACACTTTCTTTTCTGGTATATGTTCTGGATTTGTTTGTATATATAAAAGCTTAATTGGTGTAAAGTTATAGCGTTAGATGGTGTCGTTTGGTAGACATTATTTTACTGTTTTCGGTAATATTGAAGTATATTACAGTTTATAATTGATGGTCTAACCAATTACACGGGAATCTCTTTATTTGTTTATTACTTATTGATTTCTGGTGGGAGGTTTACTTTTTTTACCGCAGTATTCTAGATATTATTAATATTTAGTACCTATATTTATAATATTATAATATAAGAGGTTGAATGAAGTGCCATCTAGTGGTTATGTAAAATTAAATCATGGGAGAGATGTTCCACGTTAATAATTATACAACTATACTAAATTTCACAAGTCAAACCATTGTTAACGTAATAAACATAGATGTTTTTTCATGCTTCATCGTACCGCCTTTATGACACAATTATGAATGTAAAACAGTTGGTTTCTACATTTTCAGAAGACCACAACTAAATAAAACCCATAAAATAATGCTCTTCAACGTTGTGTTAATTGCAGCATATTTTGCTCGACAAAGAGGGTTAATAATAAAACATGAGCTAGGCCTAACTTACAGACTGTCTGGCAATTAATTGTACTTGCATAGAAAAATACAACAACAATACAAACAAAAATATATATCCCAGCAACATCTGTGACTCACCATAAAACAATGACTACTTAGTTAACTCAACACAACCAACATTGTTAACATTTATCTTCTTTGTCCACTCATTCTGATGATTGTTCTCATCCTTATAATATATTCGGTTGATGTGTTTCTCCTACAGAGTGACCCAAACACGCTATAGAAATTAATCGCTTTTACTTAAAGCTAGCAACGTAGTTGTCTTCCGAAATGGCAGAGTTTAAAGCACACTAAAGCTGTCATCTCGTTCCCAAGGCTAAAAACACACAAATGGATAAAATGGTTGAAGTCATTCTTTGTCAATCTTTTGAAAAGAGATGAAAACGGCGAGTAGAAGGAGAGTTCTACTTACTTAGGTCAAACTACGAAACTCCGGACTGTGTGGTTAAACTAACCACATGTGAATGCTATACAGCCTCGAGTACTCACATCATAGCCCTCCACAACGACTAAATCCCATACTCCGTACTGAGTCTATAGTACACATCAGATGTATCATTTCCTGAAAAGTTCATATAAAAAATAACAATTTTTTTGGACTGAGAGAGTCTTTAAATACACTAAATAGGAACAAACATTAATTTTGAACGATATTTTAACACTAGACGACTCTTTTTTAAAGTTTTTTCTTTCTTAGATTTAACTTCAGGTGCAATAAATTATGGATAATTATGAAAATAAAAAACGTCCGCCTTAGCTCTTCGATAGTTTAAGTAAAGACTAGAGAAATTGGAGTTTCACCCTACGTTTCCGAAACTATAAAGTTAGGAAACTTATGAGATACGAACTCTCTGACGTCTGGGTGAGTAGGGAGGGGGTGTCGGGGTATGCCACACCCATGAAACAGAGCCTTCGGCTATTCTGTCCGAAACGGCGGTGATAGATGGTCGACCACTGTTCGTTGTGGCCTAGCCGGCATACCGTGTAATTACCTAGCGATAAAATCACGGATACAAAGGGGATCTGGGCTGGCCACCCGGCGACACCGACCTGTGAGCAGCGGTGGAGAGGTCATAGGTGCACCATTCATCAGCAGCACCATCGCCCCCAGCGCTGCATGCCGTCCCACCCCTCAAAATCCAACATTGAGATGGCCCGACCGTATCAGACGGCAGCCTGCTGTTGGACAGCGCCACAGGTGGAGTCGTGAGCAGTCGACGTCCAGCGCAACTTAATCAGACTCTTCCATCAAGAGAACAGAGCCTTTTCTTGTCTCTGAATGTCACGATCCGCGGAGGAATGTAAGTTGAACGTGTGGCGGCTGTTAGCACACAAGTCGCTCTACACCTGCGGCAGCTTTTCCAACATGCACGCCCCATTACTCACAGGCTTACAACATTACGGTCATTAAGGCGACTTAGGACAATATGATTACGCACAATAAATGAGGTATTTAAATAACGCACAGTAACAGCTTTACTGCCACAATGCGAGGTTCAGATGTGTGACCTCGTTTTACCTCAGATAT